CAGAGAATATGACATGAAAGGCTGTATTTATCTAGCAATTTAATTTCAGACTGGTTCGGACCTGGCAAAATATTGAGACATACATTACCCAAAGGTCAACATCACCAGGAAGTTGGCCCATGAGTCACCGCCTTCTGGCATGGGACTCTAGATAACATACATAATATAATTTGAAATACAAACATTCATTATCAAAGATGCACAGTAATGTACATAATTTTCAAAAGAATGTTGTGCATACACAGGACATGGCATAACCAGCCGACTGACTCCTAACAAAAACGTCCAAGGTAAGTTTGGTTTATCCCATCCTATTCTTAATGCAGTTCAGTGCCAAGTTTGTTGAGAGTGCTCGGTGGTTGTTAACATCGACATGTTCGACGGGTGGCAAGTCTGGACTGACTCTTGTCCATAGTAAGTTAGTAATGTTGACTGCTGGAAGTACTCAGTAACAATATGAGCACTCTTGCTCTGTGTCGTCATCCTGAAACTACAAATGACGTCCATATCGGCGCGCGGATGGCATGTTGCCATGGCAGTACAACCGAATAATATGTAAACGTGTTCTGCCAGTCACAGTGATCACATCCCACACCATTATTCAGCCACACCCCAAATCGACCTTTCTGTCCAACGTTAATAACATGGAAACTGTCAAAACTCGCCTTTCTACGCCACACTGTTTTGCCGGTAAAGGAATTCCAAAGTTCACCTTTGATTCAGTGCGGCAGCAGCTCTGACACCAGTCTTGCAGTAATGTGTTAGTCCGTTGGTCATGGGATAACATGTACAGATCGGGTAGGTTCCATCTGTCTGTTCACTCACTCTAACACCTGTAGCTTTGTGGAATTGCGTCTCCAATTTGAGAGGCATTTTCACCACAATTTCAAAACACGGTTCTCTTCTGTGAAAGTTGTCGCTAGATTGACGTCTGTTGCTAACGTGTTTTTCTCTGTAAGGATTGTGAATGTAATCTGTTGATAACTGACTGTTGGAACGTTAACAGCTTGTGCCATAATGTTGTTTTGTTCCAACATCTAAGTCGCACATAGTCGTTAATGACGTTACACAATCAGCTTGTCAAAACAATGCAGGAATACCAAAATCTGATATAACCATCCCCAAATTAACCAGCTATTAAGACGGAAATAGCGCATTGCGAGACTTACAGGCCCTATTTACATTTGTCACAAAGTCCATGATCTTGACTACCAGTTGTCCGACTTCCATTTTGTGGGAAGCCACATTGGCTAAGCGGGTGAGATGGCTGATTTTCTTTGGGATCTGACTCAGGGTGCACATATGTAGTGTTGATGTCCCTCTTGACGTAAATATAGCCTGCGGTATGTGCAGGTTCTGGCCGATCATTGTGATCA